TTTTCATTAACATTTTACTAACTGTTGGCTTCTTGTCATGAGTTTCTTTGCAAACAGGTATTTCCATAAGAAACAAGGAGTTACTAAGGAAGTGACAATACAGGTGCTGGGCCACTGCTGCTGTACGACTTTGAGGCCAGTGTGCTAGGCAGGCAAGCTGGGGAACACCGCTCCTGGCAGCCAGGCTGGGAGGTTTTCCTCTTCTTATCCCTCCCTCCTCACCAGACCTTGCTGAGTCAGAGCTGAGGCACAGAGGGCAGGGCTGACACAAGCAGTGGAGTAGAAAAGGGTAATACATGGCCTTAGGTAGACAGGAACCAGGCATGCAAGAGAGAACTAGAGCACGGAGGAGGCCTTTCATCTTCCCACATGGCTGGTGGTGCATGATGCCGGGAAAGCCAGAGCATTACTGGAACTACTTCTATGCTGTGGGAGTAGGAAGACAGGAGGTCTCAGAGGCCAGGTGAGGTGCTATTTTATTGGGATGAGAAAGACAATGAAGGAAGTTTAAGTTTTGCCCATGACTCAGAGGCCAATGCCTCCCTCAGGGAAAACCTTTCCACTGGACTTCTGGAACCCATGGTGGAGCTCCTTTAAGATCTCTCCAGACTTCAGAACACAGCAGGAACATCTGTCACCTCTGATCTGCTTGAAAGTGATTCCTGCAGAATCACAGCTCAAACAGTCTGTGAAAGTAGAAGCCAGCAGAGGAATCCACACCACTAATACTCTCTGTGGGCTCTGTTCCTCTGCACCAAGTGTGAGCCTCATGTGTCTCCACCCTAGGCAGGAAACACACAACAGCTCCAGTTCAAACCAGTTCTCTAGAGCACCAAGTTGCAGCACACCTTGTTTCCCAAAAAAAATGAGTCAATTCTCTTCTTCAGCACACCAATGTCTTTACTCCATCTCATTATCCCCACAACCATCTAAACAGAATATCACTCTTGTTGGGGAATATTGTTTAAGGTGTGTGACTTTTGTTTATGCTGCATTTGTTTAATTCTGTGAAGCTGTGATTCTTTGTCTAAAACACCTGATGGTCTAATACAGCTGAATGGCCAATAGAGAGGCAGGAACAAGGATAGATGGGGCTGGCAGGCAGAGAGAATAAATAGAAGGAAAGGAGAGAACAAGGAGAGGAGGATATCAGGGGCCAACTGCCCAGTCACCAGGCCAGTCATGCAGTAAGAAGGAAAGTAAGCTATGCAGAAGTAAGAAAGATAAAAGCCCTGAGGGACAGAGTAGAAGGGTTAATTTAAGATACGAAAGCCTGGCTAGAAATAAGCCAAGCTAAGGCTGGGCATTCATAAGTAATAGTAAGACTCCGTGTGTGATTTCTTTGGGAGCCAGGCGATGAGCCCCTCAAAAAGCCAAGAGTAAAACATCACACAATACACTCTGCCATCTTAAACTCCCACCTTACCTCCCTTTCCTTTCCTGCTGGCCTTGCACACTGTTCCTTCCATTGAAACAAACTTCTTTTCAAAGGCTTACTTATGGTATCAATTTACTTCTTCCTGTTTTCCCCTGAATCCACACTAGAGTAACATCCCACCAAAGTCATCACTATTAAACACATGGGTTAATTCTTAATCACGTTCTCACTTCACCTCTGGGAAGGACCCTAGAAGAGCGGACTCAGCCCTCCTGCTCACAAACATCTTCACTTGGCTTCCAGGCTGCTACTCTTTTATCGTTACACTTTTCTTTGCTGGGATTTCTCATCTTGCTGACCTCTAAACATCAAATACACCAGGCTTTTGTCCTTGGACATGTTTTATTTTCTACCTGCATACTCTCCTTTAGTAATCTCATTGCTCAAATATACAGGCTAGGACTCCCTGGGTGGACATCTCCATCTGCTGAACCTACAGTCACATATCCTTCTGCTTACATGGATGTCCAAAATGCACCTCAATCTCAACAAGGTCAAACCTCATCCTGTACCCCATTTCAGTCAATGTCATTCTGCTCATTCAATCCCAAACCATGGTGCTGTCTTTAATGCCCCTTTTCTTACACCTTATATGAAATCAATCAACAATCCCTGCATTTTAATTATTTCGACTATGACTCTGGACTTTTGTCACCAGTTCCACCATCTCTGCCTAATTATTTTCAACAGATTTTAGTGTTGGTCCCATGATTGTGCTTGTATCCCTTCTCATTGTTCCCTTCATTCTTTTGCCAAAGGGGTCTTACTAAACGCTGTCAGTTGAGGCCATATCTTTGCTCAAATAGAACATGGCCCAAGACATCCCATTCCATTGATGTGCAAGCTTGAGTTCTCTACCAGACATCCAAGGGTCTCTATGCTGTCTTCTCCTTGGCCTCATCTAAAACCACTCCAGACTTCAGGCTTACCCAGAAGTTATCTTGGTTTTGGTTTTCCTTCTCCACTAAAATGTGAGTTCCAGGAAAGGGTTTATCTATCTATCTATCTATCTATCTATCTATCTATCTATCTATCTATACTGCTTACAGCTCTTTAGAAGAGAATGTAACACACAAGAGGCATCCTAAAGAACAGCTGGAAGATCAAGCCTAAGACAGACTTGTATATAATTTCTTCAGGTAGAAAATGCCTTTAAAAAGATCAAACACAATTAGGGTGAGGCAAACTGGGCTCTGAGCCTAGGGTACTCTGGTCCATCTTTTTTTCCTCTGTGGCTTTTACAGCTTTCTAACACCTAATCACTGCCTGAAGTCTCTAGTCTCAAGTGAGAGAAACAGCACATCAGACCCACAGCACAACTGTGGGTACCACTCTTCTTTCTCTCAGCATCCCTGGGATAGTGCCTTCCTAAAGAAGTCCAACTACTCTAACCTTAAACTGCAAATCCTGGCATACATAGGACAGTGAGATGGAAGCAGAAACTCCAAGTCCCTTCCTAACATTGTGTGCCTCAAAGGATTCAATTATACCCTCTTTGTTTCTTTGGTGTCAGTCCTGAGTGCTTATAATAGGAGCAGTGTGCTTTTATGGTGTGCAGGTGGAAAGAAAGACATGGACCAGTGTGGTGAGGACTATGCTTATCTATATTTTCATATTCAGACTGGGCTTAATGAGGTCATAATGGAACCATAGCAGAAATAGAAATGTTAATAGAACTCAGATGCTATAGTGGTAGAGAGTTTGCCCAGCATGCACAGTGCCATTTCTTTGGTCCCTCACACCAAACAGTAACAAAGGGGGTAGGGGCTGAAAAGTGAAGATCATTACTGGCACTTTGACAATGAATAATTTTGTGCCCAATATCTAAGGATTTTAATAACCTGATATACACGTGCCAGTGGTTTTTGCCCTCATACTTAAGTTCATTATCTCGAGCAGTATGAACTAACTAGAATCGTAAATCTC